ATAGAACACTTACCTCGATTTCTGCGTAGGTCTCACCAGCGTTAATATGATCACCGCTATCGACAAGGAGCCTGACAAGCTTGCCGGGACTCGGGCTTCTGAGTTGCGTGCGATCATTCTCCTGCTCAATCAAACATGTCTTTGCGTCGACCATGAGACGCAGCGCGCCTACTTCCTCTCTCCAATATACGGAATGACTCCGGCCATCGAGCATGACAAGCAATTCACCATCAGCCAGCGGACGAGCACCGACCATGGTCCGACCACCGTTCAAGAACAGTGTCCACATATTCTTGGAGGAGCGTGCGCAAGTAAAGTTATACCGAGTGTTCTCATAGATGAAATCTACGCCGAAGACAGTTTTGAGCAGGTCAAGCAGGAACCTGACCCTTGTCAAGGATGTGTTTGTATTCGCTGGTGCAAGCGTCAGCAGCGAGATGGGCCTTCGTCACTGCACCACAGACGACAGCAAGAGTAGCGTCAGGACGCTCGGCGGTGAGCTTGTTGCTGATAATGGTGCCCAGCCACCCAGTTGTGAAGGTGTTTTCGGTGAACGCCTCGAGTTCAAGAAGCTTGATGAGGTACTCGACAGTAGTTCGGAAGTCACCACGAATGCTAAGCTCCTTCAACCATGTTCTTCCTACTCTCGGATCGATCCTCGCCATATGCGAAAATATGACCAAATTGAGAACCGGTGAACTCATGCAAACCACCCGCAGTGCTGAAGGAGAAGTAACCCCCCACATTCATACTGGATCGGAAGTCAAGCTCTTGCAAAGATCCAGATGAAGGTTTAAATCCAGTGTCGGGGTTCTCGGCAGTGATACGAACTGCAACGACATGACCTTTGGGACGCGGTTTGCGCTGAAGCTGATTCGACTCAGGCTTCACCATGTCGAAATCGATTTCGGACGAAGCATTAGGAGCCACGCCGTAAAGAGTGCGGATATGACGGATCCTGTGGAGGATGATACCTATGGCTACCTGTAGTTGGGCAGCAGGCAAATTGACACCGGAAACCATTTCAGTCGTCGGATGCTCGACTTGCAGACGAGGGTTCAGCTCAAGGAAGTAGAACACATCCGTAGAGATCTGAAAGGGAATAAGTCAGCAAATGTGAAAGGGCCCATGAAAAGTGATATAGCAGGGTGTGTAGCCGTTCATCAGCGCCTCATTCTCGGTCAATACAGAGGACGGCATGATGTACGGAGCTGGCTCGGTGTCATCGCTGTATGCTTGACCCCATTCCTATAACAAACATAAAGTGCCAATAACGAAGAAGAGAGCATCGACTAACCTGAACCCAGAGCTTCTCAATAACACTTAAGCTCTGCGAACAAACAATGAGTATCCCAAGCATAGTCCATATCCAGTACGACCTGCCCCGTAGTCAGCCCACGCAACACCTGAAATGTAACGAGACCCTTACGATGCTTTCAAGTACGCATTATAAATTGCCCACTTGACGCCTCCAGCCTCCCAGTGCTCGTCCTTGATGAGCTTTCTAGGCTTTTTCTTTGATTCAACAGGCGTGTCTGCTCCGTCGCTGTCCTCCTGCACTTCAACAGGGACCTCAAAGGCTGCGACAGGCTCCTCTTCTTTGGCTTCTACAGTGGAATCCTGCGCAATGTGGTCCAGAACGCCCTGCGCACGGAGATCCTTGACAGTGCCCTTGGTATTAATGCGACCATCCAGTATGACGCCAGTCTAAAAGTCCGCCATCAGATACAACGCTCCAAAATGATTGATGCTATCATACCTGTAGTATTTAAACAATCCAAGCTGGGATAACATTCGACGGCTGACTGATGCCTGCATAAGCCCGAGAACGAGATAAATGCAGCATTAACTACTTACTGAATCATGCCGAGCAGCGCGATAGACTGAAAAACTGCATCAGCAATCTCCACTTATTTCCAGTCACCGGACTCACCATGAAAGCAACCGACACGGTCAACTGGTTACCTTGGTACACGAAAGTGAAGAATGATATGGGCAACACCAAAATAGGAGCAGAGGTCCAGATCAGGGAAAACATCACTGAGTTGATCCGGGCTAGTGAAATGGCGCGTCAGCCAACTTCCAAAAAATGATAGTGCAGCTACTTACCCTTCACCATCCAATTCATCTCCACTCCTCGTGCATCTATGCCCCATGGAATCCAGCGGTCCTCCCAGGCAAAGAACTTGATGAATTTGACAGCTCCGATGAACTCGTTAAGGACAGCCATGCATTTGTCTCGCGAAGCAGAGACGCCCTTATGAATGCGGATGCTGCATTTAGTGACAAAGCTGTTCAAGGGCCAGCTAGCGAGGAGAACGACAAAGCTCGCAAATGCAGATAGACTCAGAAGACTGTAAATAGAAGGTGAGATGCTTCAACTGATTGATACGAGTGGACTTCCTTACTTGTAGAGGAAGGAAGTGGCAATGATAATCTCGAACGGAGCTATCAATAGCGATAAGATCAATTACCGGACAAGAGTGGACAAACGTAACTGACCTCCATAGAATCCGCGCCAGCCTTGGGGTCATCCGAGGTCGAATTCTCAACAGGCTTGATTCCCGCTTTTTTGTCGGCAGCCTTCTTGGCTTTGTCCTTGTCGACAGTGCCTGAGTAGTCCTGACGCTTGAGAGCTTTGTCGTAGATGGCAGCCATCAGCTCTACACGCAACCTTGTTGCCGCTCGCCGTCCGAACCACAGGTGTCGGACATCAGCTTCTGCCTGATGCGACGTAAATGAGAGCTCCCGAGTAAGAGACCTAGATTCATACCTTTAGCAACGTGCACAGGAAGGCCAAGAAAGCATAGATGTATGCTTGGAATCAGTCCTCTGCGGAAGATTCCTCAATAGCACCAAGGATACGCCTGAAAATCGTTGAGCTCAGTAGCAGTTAATACAATAAGCAGTACTCACTTTAAAAGGAATGGCGAAGTGTAGGCAAATATGACGCTGACATAAGTCAGGCAGAAATCCAGTCTGACTCGAGCGTCGAGTGAAATTTTTAGTAGAAGAGGACAGAGGCTCACAAGAGATCTTGCGAGTTGGCAGCCCACAGACGGCGAATGAGAGAAGAGCGACTGACATTTAACGTCAACAAGTGGTCACCTCGTAGCATGATATATATGCACATGATGGTGGTGAACTTGATTAACACTGGGCGGGATTGCTGGGTGGGACTAAGTTTGCGAACATCATCCTCGCTCATGGTCATGAGCGAGCCACGAGTGATAAGTGGGTAGACCCATAAGAACGTCATACACTCCCACATAGTGGCATAATCTTCAGGAGAGTACTTGACATACTATGATGCGAGTGAGGAGATAAGCAAGTGGGCAATAATTAAAAAGACAGCGGCCCACAATGTCTTCCTTCTTTATGCGGTGGTTGCTTGGCAGTTCAAAGGGCATATTTTCTTCGACAGTCAGGAGCACCAGAATGGCGATGAGATTGGAAATGAGGCCCAATAATGGGAGTTGAGGCAATGGGACACCGAAAACCTCATACGAAGTACCACCGAACAGGATGATGCTAAAGACGAAGTGTAGCACAAATAGGGAGAAGAGATCGAAGTGGATAGTCGGCTTGGGCCAGAAGACAGGCTTGCAGGAGGCATATATCCAAGTGGCAGAAATGAGAAGTTGCGCGATACCCGGCCAAATATAATTATATCAACACGCTCACGTGACCCTGACATGACTGCAGTGGGTCCGTAGTACTAGTACTACTTATAGGATCAGACCCAGTGCATCAATTCATCAAGAACAAGATCAATAGTAGCACGCTGGGCATCGGTTCATGTTTTTCATGGTGCCCTACCACATAAATGTTCTGTAATACGCAATTATGACAGTATCGATCCGGGATTATACCAAGCTTTATAATACTAGTCCCTACAAAGTTTTTTAATTCAAGGGTCCTGATTTCGGGATCTATATTCTCAGGCTGGAACGGAATCCGACGCTCGCTCCAGGTTCAGAGAAAGAAGATAGATACCTACGACTCAGTTACACTTCTCACACAATCATTACCCACTTTTAGATTTACGTGTTGCATGTCCCTTGTGAATGAATATGATACGCCATGCCTTGGGTGATATCAGACGATCAACACATTTGGTGAGTTTAAAAAGCACGTAAAATTACAGTCATTGGTTCAGTGGCGTTTGTATCACATACATGTCAAATCCCTCAGTTCATTCCTAATCCCTCGCAGGAAACCCCTCCACTAGGCTCCAGAACGTCCCTTCCCTTATATACTTGTCAGTCAATCTCGCGCCCAAAAGGAAGAACGATCCATCCAGCGCCCTCCAGTTCCATATCCTTGAAGTAGCCCTTGGGCCGTGCGCCATAGAGTGAAGAGAAATGTGTAAAGGCGCGCTAAATCTTTGACACATGGTTGCTTCGGTGCGTTATCCCAGACTGAACGATGTCGAGGAAGGGGTTATCGACCTTGTTTTCTGACGGAAGATGTGAGGTGGCGCTGAGCAAACCTTCAATGTCCAGTCTAGGGAAGCTGCGTGTGATATGCAACCCAAGAATCGTCGCAAAGTATCCATGAAGTGACAGAGAACTTGCGAGTCTGTTGGCAAGTAAGCGAACAAGGATGGAAGGAAGAGACTTGACGTGACGCAATGCATACTGGAGCACCCCAAAAATCAATATTGTTTTGCAAATGGCAGATTTGACGTCACTCACTAAATGAAGTCGGCCGTGGAGCCTCCGTCTTTGTTCCATCCTCCAATGGTGTAGAGGATACTGCTTGTCCAGATACATTCTTCCTTTCGATTTCGCCTGGCTCCGACGGGTCGATCGTCCATTGTTTAGCGTGGTCCCATATAGTATCGCCGTGCTCGGACATCAGGCCATCAAAATGTCTAAAATGCTGTTTGATCTTCTTCGGTGTGAATGTCGGATCTTGCATGATCTCCGCAAGAATGGAGAATGCATGGTTTTTTGGTGGTTGTGCGACTTGAGAGGGCGCAGTAGGTGCCTTTGTATTAAGGGAAAGCGAGGCAAGGTCGAGTTGTGGGCTCTTCCACTGCAGTCGTACCGCTGTGCTCGAAAAGATCCGATGGTAAGAAATTATGCCATGCCCGCTGGTGAATGCAAGACCTTTAGGTGTCTGTCAGGGACTCGTTTACAATGATGTGTCACGTTCCTCGCCTTCGACGATCATGCCTGGGATGCCTAATTCTGCGCCGTATCCTACATGGGTGAAGGTGTGTGAAAAATTTCCCAGGAAGCGCGCCAACATCACCGGCTGGGCGGATGCGTCTCGTCCCTCTATAAAGTTGTACTTCTTAGAGAAGATGTATTTCGCTAGCGTGGCGCTGAGGCTCTTTCCTCGATAACCTTGATGAAGAAGGATATGCAACAGTGATCCATCTGGCAGTCGGGCGCTATCAAGAAAACGCATCTAATTGTCCCAAGATATAGAAGCGCGCATTAGCTGATTATACAACTTGAATGTAGTACTCTGACGAATGCATAATGTTCTATATCTGATATTACACATATATAGATCACTGAGCGCGGCTCTAATTTACGCAGCGGCCTCAAGACAGTTCTGCGCCCACTAGTTGAGACTGAGTTTGACAGGAAATGAAAGGATTGAAATCATAGCAATGTCATAGCCTTCCGATCAGCGGACCGTGCTCAATCCTGGTTTGTGATCAATTAATGCAGTAAAATGGCAGCAGTATCCACTCACCCGATATAAAGGGATGGTCAAGCAGTGAGGCGCAACTATTCCATCAGAAACATTTTGGACAAGTGCCACATGGCACATCAACTCCGTTGGCGAAATGATGACGGGACTCCGATCAGGCTCATCATAAAAAATCCTACCACCTGATGCAGGATACGTACGGTAATGGTCATGATGCACATCCACTGGTGCAAGCGCACGGAAAGGATCAACTATGATCAAGGTTTGAGATTCATGGGTCAATATTTCTCGTATTCGGCCAGCTGACCAGCTGCCGGGGGACGTGGTGTCATCACAGAAAGCAATGAAGCAATGAGTGGTGTCAACACTGTTACGATGATCGGGGTTGGGATCTAAACGATGGGTATCGTCATCGCTTGAAGTGTTGAAGGCAGATAGTAGAGTGCCAGATGCTGGCTGTGGCTCTGTTTGACCGGGAGTCGTATGAGGTTTGTACAAAATTCCATCTTTCTCCAACGAATGATGTACCTTCACCACCGGTGAGCAAGGTTTGCTATGAGTGGTTCCAAGTAGTAGACTCTCCTCATAATTGTTCTTAGTCTTCCACCTTTGGATCGCAGAGAACATAGACTGAGAGAGACGACATGATGATGCAGTAGTAACATCAGGTTTCACAGAAAACTTGACTTTGAATGCTCTGGACTCGCTGATCAAGGTGCCTCGAGATCGATCATCACGAAATGTCTTAGTGAAGACATCCACAAACCGGGATAGAACGTCCGGAAGTTGGCCCGAAGTAATCAAAGAGCGTAGTGATTGTGCAATGCAAAAATTTTCGAACATGGTCTTCTCCAGTTCATCTGGGAGGCATAGCAATGAGACAATATCTCTAGCCAGCATGCAACAGACAGACGTACCAAATTTCTTATTAGTAGGAATCTGTTGTAACATATAATTAATCCTTTCGAAAATCCAACATCGCCAGGCATGGGTAGGGCCAAATCGTTGCAGAAGTTCACCAAAATGGGCGGACAAGTGATGGTTCAGGGTCAGGTTAATCTGTGGGTAAAGTTCCAAGACATTTTTGAGGTAACGGTCCATGTGGAGGTTATAGGATGCAATTCTGGCAGGCGTCATCGTCCTCATTGAGGCAACTTTGACTGCAGTTACCAGATCCATGTAGTTATCGAGCATTTTTCGAAAGCGAGACGTTGGATCACTAGGCCCCCAGATACGGCCTAGAGTCACTACCAAATGAATGGTACAAAATGACCGCCACTGGTCGGCCGAAAGTTTGCCTACCCGTGTACTGCCTGCTTCTCGAGGGGCGGGTGAGACCCAGTATGGAAGTCTTGTCCGTGCCATATCTCGTTGAACCTCTGCCAGAACACCTGCACCCAACACAACTGTATCGTTTTTTTTTACCTTTCGTCTCTTTATCTGAGGAACAGGGCCAAGTGAGGAAGTTTCAATAGTTTCAGGGTGATGTTGACGCTGTACAATAGTCAAAACTCAACCACTGGCAAATCAATCGTCATGCAACTCACCCACTGGATCAAAGAATCTGCCAGTGCTTGTTTAGTTTGGGGCTCCAATGCTGACGTACCCACTTTGAAGTGAGCAGCACACATTGCAACTAGGACTGCATGATGGAAAGTTCGTTTGATAGCCTTGTCAGGTTTTCTGCGAAAGATATCCTCGGCAACAGAAAGTTCCTCATCGTCCACAGGGTCGCTCTTCCCTTTCCGTGAAGTCATGCCGCCAGTAGTATTTGTATCACGAGTGAGAGGCCAGCCAAGTTCGGTACGCTATGATCATAATAAACCAATCGGTCAGGGTAAGGCATATTCAAGCACGGAGCACTTACGTATTGTTCTAGTTTCTTTAAGAGATGCTTCTTCCGGTCAATGTAGCGTGGTTCAGGAAGCATCTGAGTGTCCCGACAGAGCCGTTGTAATTGAGACCGTGTCAACTTCTGCATGTCATTTATGGTCCCGTGTCGAAGAGTCTCCCATGCATCCTGTAATAAAGCATCAGAATCCTTGTCAAACTCTGTTGCTGCTCCCGAATCAACCCATGTCCCATCACCATCCTTCAGCTTTATGTCCATGCCCCAGATATCCCGACAGTGGCGCTTGAAATCTCCAAGAAACATGGCATGCATGGAGTCTACCAGGGTAAAAAGAGTAGGATCCCAGTACTGGGAGTCGTAGTAGTTCTGACCACCTGAGACCATGCATGTCAAATATATTTTTTCGTTCCTTCTCCGAAGGGGCATTTCGCCACCGTTCAGCCCAATGTCGATGCTCTTGGCAGGTGCGAGGAAGCCAATGAGATCGATCAAGATCATTAATCTCTTCCAAACGCAGGCAGCACAATGAACAAAAATGACGTGAACTGAAATGAGCGTATCCACTCATTTGGCGAGCTGCAGGCAAGTCGCATATCAGGGGAATGACTGCACACCAGACACAATGACCATTACGGTGATTGGGAGTACTGGCGTAGTATACACCTGAATTCCAGAAGACAAGAAGATCGTCTACTAGAGGCTTTAGGACTGTGATTGATCTGTTCGAGCAGTGGTGCACCAGGTCCAGGTATAATGCCGACTAAGAATAGGTTCTCGAAATCGTAGCGGATCTCAGGCAGAAGGTTCAAGCAAATCATGTAGATGCCTCCGACATGGACCTTTTTACCAGCCTCTTTCATATGGTATGGATTGAAACCATCCATGCATAAGCTAAAGGCATAGTCGTCCTCCACCAGGTCGGAAAAACGGTTTGTCATCTGGACCAAGGAACTCGCGGAATAGCTTTGTCTCAAGGATGTCGTGTATTGCTGACTGATCGTGGCAAGCAGGTAACTCGCGGTCAAGAATGTCCTCCATACCATCCCGGCACAGAAGATTACCAACCCACTGCTTCATGTCGTGGTAGAGAAAATGCCTAGCTGGATAGACAAAGCGCTTGCCTCGAATGGATCGTGTTTTGCGGAGCAAGCGATTGCAGGTAGCTGCATCTGGCGTGGATTTGAATGGACAGCGTTCTGGATAGGAATGACTGTCATCGAGCGGATAACATGAAAAGCATTTCGGACAGCAAACAAAGGTTTTTGAGACCGGGTTAAGGTTGAAAGCATCAATCACCGTCCGTGGATCAACAGGCATAGAGGGTATGGTTCCATTGGGGGCAGATGACAGCTCCAAGAGGAGCTTGATGCAGTGCAAGATAAACCGGCAGTGGGAGAGTGAGATGCCGCATATGAGGTGAAGGACAGCAATTAAGAAGTAGCATAACGTGACAATGGGATTCCGGGTTTTCCAATGGCGCTGGTGGAATTGGGCTGAAAGAATAATATTGAATCAGACAGTCTTAAAACAACAGAACGTGGCACAGTTTGCATACCAGTTTCGATGGTGTAGATGTTTGTCCCTGCAGTGCCTGCACCCCTCGTCTGCTTCATGCGCCACCATACCTTTTCTTTTATCTGCTCGATTTCACAGACTTTGCTTTCTACCTCTCGCTCCAAAACTAATTTCAGCATCTCGAAGCTCTTCATCTCCAGAATCAGGAATGACATCAGAGGCATGCAGTAGCTGAAGAAGTTCCTCCTCGTAATGAATGAGAGGAGCATTCGATGGAGTGTCATAGCATAAGGCATAAGGCCCATCATTTGATACACGGGAAGTATTGCCACTTGTGTGTCTCTCTGGCATAGGAGAATCACAGAGAGATGGGGGGTGAACAAACACTAAATTGTCTAGTGTAGATTGAATATGCTCCCAACGTGTTCCCAACGTGTGCACCTTGTCTTGTAGGTCCAAAAGTGTTTTGAAACCCTTGAAAATATTACGCTCATGCCTCTGGGCTGATTTTGATGTTTGGCCGTCCAGAGATGGTGGGCGGACACCTCGTGAATGCTTGCCATCATCACATGGAGGATTGTTTGCTGGGGAGTGTGTCGTCAGGTCCCTAGATGACTCGGAGGTACTGTACTTGGTGCCCAGATGCAGTCGTTCATCTTCTCGTTTATGGTGTTCGAATTCCTTAAGGCCAACAAGTCGCCCCTGCAACAAAGGTCTGAGATATCACATCCCAAGATGTCTCAGAAGCGCACCCTTGGGACATGCACATGCATTTCTTCAATGCTGTGGCAGTGGCTGGTTTAGACCTAGCTCCCACAGTACCAGCCTCCCTGAAGTCGAGGTTTCATTCCAGGTGCTATGTAGTGTTGAGTTGCAGAGTTGAGCTGTCTCGGAGGGTTAGATTAGGAGAATATAATAACTTCTTGAAGTACTAAAGTAACTGGAGAACAGCACTAACGTGAAAGGAGAGCAACAAAGCTTCAAAACCATAGCCGATGGCAGAACAATGAAATCAAAGCAGTATGTCAATGGAGGAGCGGTAAAGACATGAAAGGAGAGCGACAAAGCTTCAAAACAATAGCAGGTGGCAGAACAATGAAATCAAAGCGGTATGTGAAGGGAGGAGCGGCACTTAAGGTCAACGAATACATGTGTGAATGATATGGCAGGTTAGAAATAGGGTAGATGCCAACTAAACGTCAGACCTTAAACGAGGGACGAGAAGAGTGAACAGGAATTTCTGTGCAGGTACGATCAATTGCATCGTAGCCTTTTTCCAAACATTGATTATTGAATCCGGGAAACCCGCGCAACGAAGAAGATACTATATTTGATTAAGGTCAGCGATTCACATAGAGATCTATGATATACATCGTCAGGCACTTCGATTATTCAATACAATCGTTGAGACTACGCATAGCAGCGTAATGTGAACAGAGAGGTCGATGGCTCAAAGTCTTCCAGGTGGGATGCGACACTGAGTTTGAGTATCCATGAGTAGAAAAGACGTTGAAGAACTATATCCTCTGCTGTGAGAACTCATCATGACGTCGACGCAAGCATATACAACCCACGACGTTAGCCATGAACACACTCATGACTGTGGACTCCGAAGCGGCCAGAAATTAGTGAGAAGATTGACCCATGCGATGTCGACGGGAAATGCAAGATATACGAGAAGTAGTTCAAGCAAGCCCCATGCAGCAAGGCTGAGAACAGTGCAAATTACGCCAGGACCAATAGTGCGCCGATGGCTATCCCAACTGCTAAAAGTTTCGTGCCGATGACTCTCTGAGCATCTCCGAATGGAATGTGATATGATATTGGACACGGTAAGGAATGACTAAAGGCGAATAACTACGAGGTGCGCAGGGCAATCTTGCGGCCGGCCTTTGGTCGAGCTTGCCGAGGCAATCTCCTTGTCCGGTGTGGATTCCTCGGATGGTGCTTTACGAACAGGACGTGCCTTAGGACCAGGACGTAGCTTAGGAGTGGGTGGACTCGGAGTAAGTGAAGGTGAGCTCGGAGCTTGTGCCTTCGCAGCAGGACGTTCCTTGGGGGTGGGTGGACTCGGCGAAGGTGACTTTGGAGCTTCCAGTCGTGGCTTCACAATAAGACGCGGCTTAGGAATGGGACGTGGCTTTGGAGTGGGTAGAGCAGGTGGGTGCGGGTGGCTCAATGGCAGGAGAAGGCGAAACTGGTGGGCTTGTGACCTTGGTCGAGCGCAACCGTGGAGGGAACATATCAGGACTCGCTAGAGCAGGCGGGGGTGTGACAGGTTTTGCTACACCTGAGAGATTGGTAGATCGAAGGGCGAACTGTTGGCACATCTAAGTTGAGGGTGAGAGTAGTACTTGGCGTCCATTCGATGCAGAGAAGTTCAGCATACTGGAGTTTGACCCGAAACTTACCATCTTCCAACAAGCGTCCATTAGAGTATGAAACACCTGAGCATGGGCTGATCTCAATGGCATTAGAGACCTCCGCCGCTTCCAGTCACCTCGCCCACAGTTTCATCGGGACAGCTGACAAATGACTTAGTATGAGTTCATCGGTGTACTGAGCAGAGACCTCCGCCACATCAGGACACCTCGCCCGCATATCGAAAATCAAGACAACTAATGTATGACCATGAGTTCATGGGTGAACAAGAGCGGAGACCTCCGCCGCTTCCAGTCACCTCGCCCACATGCCAAACATCAGGGACAACTGACAAGTGACTTATGGCAGGTTCATCAGTGTACTGAGCAGAGACCTCCGCCGCTTCAGGACACCTCGCCCACATGTCAAAAAATCAAGCATGGAGATAGCCTACAAATGACCGCTGCCACATACCACAAGACAAAGATGCCTAAGATACGGGATTTAATCCATCAGTGAGCAAAACTTTGATAACTGAGAAGGAATCGATGAAAAAAAAAGTTGAGGCTCCGCTGTATTATGTAAGCAGGTCACGTGTGTACAGTGTGAAAGTCCGTCCCGCCGACGGTAACAGAGACCACGACGGAGAACTAGAATCGTATACCCCACACAGCCTGCATCTACTAAGGAGCGCCGTAAGTCGCCTGTACTTCCGGTGAGGCTGACGACTGAGCAGATTGACTCTGTACCAAGCCACGGGACACGAGCCCAAAGCCATACCCGTCTGGTGGGGAGATGCTGGCAAGGAGACGCTGGCGAGGAGACGCTGGCGAGGAACACTTTGAGGTTGCTGAAGATGAGAATTGGGTGAATGGGTTGGTGCCTGAGAATAGCACTGGAGTGGGATCGGAGGAATCAAGTCAAGGTTAGTAAGCTTTATGCTAGAATGAGGGCTAATCATACCTCCGTCACGTTGTCATATGCACCGAGATAAGTAGTGGTGCTTGTGAGGAAGCTATCTGGAGGGGTGCTGTTTACTGTGCGCAACGTAGCACGTAGGCTTCTCCTCATATCCTTGTTCAGATCAGCTATGGCTTCTGATGTGTGGCTCTCGAAGAAAACTTGGTGAGCTAGCTTGGGCATGACTGCTGCGAGCTGAATGCTGTCTGCAAAAGGGCCAGCAGCGTGCAAATACTGGTGATGATTGTTGGGCAGGAAATTTGATAAAACAGTAATCTGTTTACCAGAACAGGTCACGCCAACCAATGCATAGAAGATATCAGGTCGTCTCCTCGTAGCAGACTTCAGAACCCCAGTCATGACTAGTATAGAGATATTAGGTAAGTCGGACCAGATCTTCTGCAAAACATACCCGAGACAAATAGCAGATTGAATCTCGACATGTTCGAGAACGCAAGTGAGATCACCAGTGATATCGGCCAACGTGCTGGACGACTGTACATCAGCGGGTGTGCTGAACCCTCGAAACCACGAACGTCGATAGCAATCATGCAATACTCGCCCTGAAACAAATCAACATGACGGTCGTCGCTACGTTAGACGGTGCTGCATGACAGCACTGTCAGACTTACTACTGGCGCAAACTCCGGAACCATAATGCAGAAAACAACGATGTACATGAAGTCCGCGAGTCCGTGCACGATGACGGTCCGCTGGCTCTTCTCGATAACATTCGGTAATACAGTGAGTGCAGGGGGTAAGCTACTGTTTGAGTCAATTATTGAATGGTTTACGGAGATTCCATGGAGTCGGATACTTGGGAGGAAAAAGACCTTTTGGAGGGTATGTGACGTACTTGCACGTCACGGCCTTCTTGTCGAGGTGGTCGAGGTGGTTCATGTACGTTTGACTAGATATCAATTAGTGAGTGATCTGCGAACTAGGTCCGAGTGAAATGGACAAACTTAAAAGAGAAGAGGGTTTTTTCACGAAGTCCAATGCAAACATTTCCTGTTGCACTACATACCACGAGATTAAGGCTGAGCTTCACGTATGAGCCCTTGAGAAGAGACAGAGCAAGTCAAAATGTCATTTACGATCATCCCTTGCAATGAGAGGTCTAACCGAGTCGGGTTTTCGTAGATATAGTTTGCGATATCTTCATTTGTCTTAGAGTTACGTTCAAAGAAGATGACCGCTGACTCACAAGGCACGTATCTTCCAGCATACTGAATACTATTCAGAATATGGTCAATACAATGTTTACCACGCTCTCTGAGAACTTACACGTTCTCGTACCAACAGGTTGTTCCACCCAAAGCACGGAGGACAGGTTGGTCCAGCTGTGTTGGTTCACCGTTGGTTTTGCCTGACCCTAGGACCAAGTGAAAGGCTTCAAACATCTCAGTTATAGATGAGTCTTGTCGTCAACAAAGAAGCTTACCCCATTCTCTTACAGCAAACCTGCGAGGGAGGAGCAT